GCAGCTAGGTATAACTCTGTTATTTTAGTTAATGGATAGTTTTGGACGCGTTTTAACATGTTCCTGAGAAACATCTGCTTGCCAAGCTTACTGTAGATTTCCATAGGACTAAGAGGAAAAAATATCACCAGTGACAGATCATAAATGTGGTAAACAACGACAGAGACTGCATCTTTTACGGATTATTACATTGAAGGCAGTTATCAGGTGAAACAGGACCAATTGCAACCACGGGAGGCACTCGCATAAGACAGCATGGCTGTAATTCTGGCACGGAAGCGCCAGAACATCATGCCAATTTGCAACTGGCTATTCCTTCCTCTGCTTATTGCATCGAAGTAACGGCGGTAAACTCCTTGCTTGAGGGAATTAACGAGGCAGACAAATTTTTTCGTCTGCAGGATTCGAATTCGAATTCGTCACCTCCAGAGTCCTAAGCTGACCTCTCTGCCATTGCTTCATCGCCTCGATCCTTCAGTCAGAGTAATGATGATACAAATCTACAAGTCTTGCCCATTTGAGCATGGCAGATTTTCAGGTCTCGACCATCGAAACATTTGAGAAACTCATTTTATTGCATTCCCGAACATCGTTCGGTCGTCCAGGCGCATCTTTTCGTACGCTGTCATCATCCATTCAGAGAGAAGAGCTCATGATCTTACAAAAAACAGTTTTACGGTGTCTTCATGATGGCTCAACAACAAACGTGACCTCAACCATTCCATAGAAATTTGAACCCCGAGTGTCTTACTTTCACTCAGAACAGTCCCAAAATACTCAAATAGTCTTATCGAACCAGGCTACAATGGACTGGCAGAATTTCGAGGGTTGATTAACGTTGGTCATTGGATGCCATTTGCGACGAGGACGCCGACTTTGGATGATGGAGAATAAAAGTCCGTCTGCCGTTTCTCCTAAATGCTGTTGTTTTGTCATCGTTATCGGAGGCACATGACTTTGAGACCTTTTGATTTCCGGGAACATACATCAAGGTGCTTTAAAAGTAATAATTACAATTCGACTTTGATCAATGACCATAATGAGCTAATCATTTCCAATGGCTGATTGCCCGGTTATTTAAATAGAACAATAATTAATCACAGACATTACAATGTTGTGCTTGACGATGGGTTTAACTCGCTTTCAAACTGCTGATCATAAAGCGCACAAAATTATTGTATTTGCGTTTGTTACCAATTCAAATTTATCATAAACTAAGAACAGTTCATTGAAACTGAATGAAACTACAATTGAAAAACATCTTTCTCAATTCAGAAGAAACGACGAATACGAGTGTACAAGCCTCCATGTTATTTATTACTACTTAAGTCTTGATCACTCATGCGCTGAGGTAGTCGTCATTTCTGTCCATTTGTGAAATAAGGTAATGTTGCACAACGCAAAGGAAGCGTCCTGTGCGTTGGCAATTCACCACCAGACAAGCCTTATTTTGCTGATGACGTTTCAGCCAAACAACATTGACATCCTCTGGGCAAACAATCCATATTTATTTTGCTCCTTCGATCCTCAAAACATGGTTTCAATAAAGTGATAAATAAATCAAGTGATTGCGTGACGGAAGCTGATGATATCGGAGCGTCTGATCACGATGATCATCAGATTCGTATACCTGTTGATAAAAAAGGGAAAATTTGTAACCGTTTCAATGTCGGTTTTTCTAACACTTACATAATGAGGCTAATTTCAATTCCTATACTGGTGTTCATTGACTTGATGATCGCCATTTACATGTAATTGGCTAGGAATGTCATTTTTAAACGTAGAATTGACTACCGCTATGTGACAGGCAAAGTCTGTTTTCTTCTTTATTCTTCCGACCTATTTATCAGTATTACTCATTTATCAGCGACAAATGGGAGGGCAAGTGGACCTGATAGGGGCTCAAATAGAAAACCTTTAAGTTCTGAGTGTGGCGCTCTACTGACAATAATTCCGGGCTGAAGGAACTTGTAACAAATTCCTCTTTCCTCAAGGGAAATCGTAATATAGAAAAAAGACCGCCTAGGGGAACCGAACTCAAAACCCCCGAATTTCAAGCTGGTAACCGCACCGTTCCACCACGCACGTTAATAAATCAACATCACGATTATAGAAGCGCTTTAGGCCGTGTAAAATGAAACTCCGTCATCGGTCGGAAACTTTTTGAAATTGGCAATAATGAAAATCTTTGTTCATTATCTAGCATGTGATCAATAAATATGGAATGAATACTGCTTAAGTATATGCAAATACAGGCCGGTGCTCATACGCCACTTTTTCTGGGTTCATGACAGCCCCTCGGGATCCATGTCTCTTCGTGATTGTTCAGAGGTAAATGTTGAAGGCGGTCTCTGCTCCTCCTGCTGCGTGTTTTCCTTGACATCATTCTTCAAGACAGGTTTGCTATCAACTGTTAAAGTACACTGTTAGCGATTAGTAATTCGCCTGGTTAGCCTATAGCTTCTTCATGGCAGTTCATCTTGGCTGACAGAGATTTTGATGGCCTTCTTGATGTGTGATACTTGGCCTTTGGGATCGATGTTTCATTATGGTCTTTCGGAGGTAGATATTGAAAGATCGTGCCGCTGTACGGTTATGGTAGACCTTCTAACAAGGTATGATCTGAATGCCTATGCCTAATCAGCCTAGCAATTTGGGTTTATGAAACTCAATACTGACCAACATAGTAACGATGAGTAAAATAAGTCTTGACAGGCCGTCCTGCTCTGTGATCCCTTGCCTGAGGGTCAGATGTGTGGGAAAATGTCTCCGATAGCTTATGAAAGCTCGACGCACTTAATGCAACAAATATATAGAATTTAATGTTGATTCGCCATAACCTGCGAAACCTGTAGACTAACTCTATGGAACTTTCTCATCGAAAACGTTGATAATTTAAATCGAGCAATTATGTAGGAATCTGTTGTCTGATTTGTATTTTAAGTATGGTAATAACTGGATGATTTCCGCATGAAAGGCTGACAGGTCGTAGTAATGAGTTAAGGATGAAGCAGTCTGAGTAAAAGAGTTCGTCTTTGCCACTCTCAGGCCTGCCGAATATTGACTGAAAGAGCAATGTCCAGAAGACAAGCGACAAGGTTTAGTTTGGACGATGCCTGCGTGATGAAAAGTGAGGAAATTTGGAACATGTCAATCATTATATTTTAACTAGAGAACCTCTGCTGCAGATCGGCAAGCCAAAATATCGATATTTGAGCTCATAATCAGAATGCCAGAAGAAGAGACTCACAAAACGGATTCACTTTGCGGAACCTCACGGAGAACAGCCAGACTAAAGAGAGGACGGTGCAAATCGGCTGTAGTGCGTACCTCGACATTGCTGACGTTGTAACCAGATGAATATGACTCATGTATTTGACGGACGCACGACTATCAGAAAACTTTTTGAGGCCACTGTTCCTTCCATCGAAAATATCACACTTTTAAAACGAATGAACGAAAATGCCAACCCCCACTTTGGTAATTTCATGTTCCATTGAGAGTTTGTATCCGGAGAAAAATAAACTAACATCTAATCATCGGTTATTTGATCGTACCACCCCGGTTGTATATTAAAACAAGCACGTCGTATGCTGTTCGTTGAAAATCGGAACTGTAACTGACCGACGGTGTATGAAAATTCGACCTGTTCGTAGGCGAAGCCAACGGCTTTGGTCAGCATCAAAAACCGTTCATGGCAAACGGCATCCATTAAAATGGACATAATCGACCGAAGTGGCTTTCGCTCGTTAATGAAAGCGAGTCCATTGCCAATTACCTTCGATTCAGACTCAGAATCGATAACGTGTGCCCATTGAAGGCCAATCAATCAATCGAGCGCTTTTAAGAAGTCACCAATTTGTTCGTTGTTCACGCAGTTCCGGAATCACGTCAGACCATCGACGCTTGACTGCGGTTGCCGATGACCAGAGTTAAACGAGGATGGAGAACTCCGTGTGGCCTCTAGCTCGACCGCCAAAATCATCACTACCTCGCTGGACGGCGAAAATTACCACCATGTGACTGATGTAGCTGGTGGCCCTCTGTTTTGACTCGCAACGTCAATGTCTCATATACGCATACGCCACTACATCTGCTCGCCAAATTTAATTCCGTTGTTTTTTGTGGCTAACGATTGCCAGGGGGCATTAAAGCAGTGCCCAAACTCTACTGTTACTCGCCTGCTGCATCACAGAGGCACTTCATCCTCTTTGAAGACATGACACAGGTGAACTGTAGATGTCAGTTCTGACGATCTCCTACGAACAGTAAGGGAACGCCTGAAGAACATTAGGCTTTAGAGCGGTCATTTCCATCCATCACCCTGTAACCCGCTTTTACCGTATCAATCTGCAGTCCCTGTTTCGGGATATGACCCAAAACTGACGTTTATGCAGAGAACAGCCCTTATTCCCTGACCGCAAACAGTCTGTGGAATATCAACTGACTAAATGTTTATTCGAGCTCTTTATTCAATTCATAGCTTCAAACACCGGCAATATAAGATTATGGTTACAAGAAAAAACTGAAGGTAATTTAGCAACCGCTTGGATGTTAGTTTTCTTCACACTTCCGTTATTGGCACAGTTTTTGGCAGTATTCTTCGTATGGAAGTTGTGGTACAGCGCTGATCTTTGTTTTGTGCCATCAGTCGGGAATGTCTGGTTTTAAAGGCAATGTTAATAGATGAGGCAGATACAGTGCCCGACTTTCTGCTTACTAGTACTCGTTTCACCATCTCGAAACGACGATAGGTGAGTGGCCTTCTCGGAGCTCAGTCTTACAATTTTTAACCCGAAATTCGATATTCCATCGAGTGAGCGGCTTCTGTGTAAGGCTAGGGTTAAGTATGATTTTTCAGTCTGGTCACTGCGAGTCATAAACTCAGTTTTCAGATTAACGATGAGTGAAAGTTGGTAGCATCGGTCGATGGGAAGAAATCCTGTCTAAGCACAGAAATGTGCAGCAAGTGCGGGTTCATTTTCATAATTTATCGAAAAATGATGAGTAGAACGCGAGCGGTTACGACATATTCTGGCAAAAGGGGTGGAGTCGACGAGCTGCGACTTCAGTTCGTCCAATCAAATCGCCCACCACGTCCGTTAGCGTTTATCCGGTATACCTGATTATGACATCGTCAAAGCGAAGGCGTCAAACTTGGATGAGAAGCCGCGTCTTGGCACCGTCTTCGTGTCGAAACACTTTCCATGAAGGCTGTCGCTTTCTTTCATCGAAATGAAGAACGTCTTTTAATTTGATTTTTAATCACCGGCTCTTGACTTTGCCTCCAGTGGCTCTGATGGCTTCCTGTCGTTACGAACGGTGCCGCCTTTGATTAGAAGTCCAACGCCACGAGGACGGATCGCTTGTGCTCGAAACGCTACCAGTGGAAATGACCCACCAGCGGGTGGACCGGGCACCTCTGTCGTCCATGGCACCTACTTCATGAAAGTGGTCGTTGGCTACTAGTGTGACGTCATCGTTCACCGACACCATTCCGCAGTTATTAGATGCTTCGCACAACTAATTAATCCATTAATCACAACGGGTATTCTTTATGTCGTCTGCAGGATGCAGACGTTGCTCAGTGGCTGTTTTCGTCTTCGTCCTTGCTGTCGTCGCCTGAGCACGTCATGCAGTCGCTGTTTTTACTTTTCGCCTCGGCGCGCCTTCA